GCTTCAATTCGGTCTGGCGGCGGCGCTTGAAGTTCTCCACGCTGCCATCGGCGGTGAAGCCTGCTGGATCCCAGAAACCCACTGGGTCCTGCCTCAGCATGCACTCAGGTGCTTGAGGCATCGATGTTGTAGGAGTGTTCCAGATTCCACTCTGGGGTGATCGGTGCTTGTTGGGTGCTGCTCGGTAGTGACGGCTTGAACATCCTGTCGCTTTCAACTCTTAGCAATGTTCTAAGCAAGGCCGGTTGACTCGGATTTAGCGTTACAAGCTGCTGACAGAAAAAAGATAGGATTCAGAAACCCTCCCAGGCTTGGAAAGTAGTCGCCTTGCAAGTCGCATCAACCTTTGCATGGCGGACGAGGGCTCTTCCTTTACCAACCGCATTCGCCGAGCCCTGAAAGGAACATCAACGAACCTGGAAGCAAGTCTTTTCAGTGGTCTCATCATTGCAGACATGGCAGGAAAACCGCAGAAACCCAAACAAAAACAAACAACTCGCCAAGTACAGTGGGGTTGGGTTTGGCTCAGCCACACTGTCACCTCATCACTCCTGACGAGCGATTGAGTCGGCGCCGCCCGACATTTAAACAGGCCATGGGTGCTAAAATCGCAGAACCCCAAACAGAGCAAGCCGCACTCCAAGCTCGCTTTCGAAGGCCTTCAGGGCTACCTGGCAGCATTCGCAAAGAAGTCCAGGATTCGTGGGTTTCGGGGGCCATCGCGGAATGGCGCAAGACTTCCTGAACACCGCAACTTGAAAGGCTAGGTACTGCCGACGAGCCTGGCCTCCTACAGTCAAAGGCACCAACACCCAATTGTTCAAGAATTGGCCCTGTTGTGGCGTCGCAGCACAAAGGCCTGACAACCCGAAACGCTAAAGCTCATATGGCCGAAATTAACAGGTTCTCTGCTCGGCCGAAGAAGGATGCCACAACAGGCGCACCGTTCCCTTCAAGTCCTTTCAGGGATCTCTGGTGATGTTAGAACTTGTTGTTGTTGGGTCAATGGGCTCGTTCGGCATGGCACTTCCCTTTTGGGGATTGCTGTAGCTATTTCTACTTAGGACTTTAGAACCAGGAAGCCTGGCTGACAGGAAATCCTCAAGATCCCGGGCATGGCGAAGTCAGAACAAGTTTTGGTGCTAGACACCCGCACGATTGCATGAACCAAGCACACTGGAACCTGAACGATGTTGAACCTCGTGAAAGGTAACAGGTAACGGAAAGTACTACGACGAGAACAACACCAAAAAGTTGAAACACTTGTGCACAGCTCCAACTGGGCCAGGGCCATTCTGGAGGGCCTCCCAGACGCTGCGATGATCGAGCGAAGCTAAACCCTGAACCAGCCAACCTGAATGATCCTACACCGCAAATTTTGCTGGAAACTCCAAGCCAATCAAGAAAGTTGAGGACGTGGACGTGGCTACAGCGTCAGATTATATTGCTCAGGGAATTGAATTCTGATGCGGCTTATGTTTTGGGTTTAGGGTCTAAACCAGCAAGTCGATGGTCAACCCACACGAGATGTGCAGCGGTAAGCCCGAGCCGGCATCGCTGTTCGCTGCTGCGGGGTGCCTTTGAAAACGACCTTAGCGCTCGGGCTCGACGCTTCTGGGTTCAGGGACAATTTTCAACACACGTTCGCACACGCCCCTCTGTCGAGCTACCGTGAAACGACAGTTTGCAGGGTCATGTACCGGGAGTTTGCAGGGTCATGTTAGCCCCAAAATCAAGCCCTGACCATCCGACAATATCCGCAAACACGCTGGGGCCCGGGGCGCGCTGGGACATAGCGCCGAGTGCCAGGGCAGCAAACGTGGCTCCCAAGCCGACGCTCAGGGCCTCGGAGATGTTCTCCACTACGTGTTCAGCCGTGCGAGGCGTGTCTCGAGTTTATGATGTTAGGGGGCTATTTAGGGGAAAAGGGTGCCATGTGCTCCCACCACAGTCGAGCTCCCACCAGAGTGTGGTGGCATGTTGGCCTCATGGCTTCGACGGAGAGGTGGGGTCTATATTTGGCAACTCCACTGGGCTCTTTAGAGTTTTTTCTTCGGTTGGTTCACGCAAGACCCTGCATTCAGACGTTATTTTTTTTTATCGCCCCTTTTTCATCAGCCCGAAGGAGTCCGAAATGCCAACTTGGCTGAGGCATGTGACGGGGGCCAGGATTCGAAAGGGAAACTACTAGTATTTATCCCCAAGTAATGATCTTCTTGGCCCCCAGTCAGCAGCGCAACCCCAAGAGTCGCTATTACACCTTGACCTGCCCAAGTGATTTGCTGACAACTTGCGACAACAGCAAAGACTGCACGCCCACATCACTCTAGTACAGCCTAGTTCGTCAGCTCACATGCCAGCAAAGGATGCTCGCTATACAAGTCCCATGGACCAAGATTCATGCCCACATCACAAGCATTCAGACGTTAGGCCTTCAGGGTTTTCGGTTGTAGATGTGGGGCTCACACACCACAGTCCCAGCGACAAGCCGTGCCTTCTTCCAAAACTGCCCTGGGAAGAGTTTTATCCCTCAGGTCCGAATCAAAAAATGAACCTCCATATGAGGACGAGGTTTGCAGAGTCCCGACAGCATCCCAATCCTTACAAATGCCTCCTTATCAAGAAGCTGTTCAGGAAACACTGGTACCAACAACTATAGGCTTGGTCTGGGCCTAGAGCGCACAAATCCGCAACTGACACTGGCCACCCGAGGGAAGAAGACAGTCTGAGTGCAACTCAGTCCCGAACACATGTTCCGACGTTGCTCGGAGTTCGCTTTTTCCCGGCACCCTTTTCATGAGGCGAGATAGGATCCGGGCGCTGCTGCTGCTGGCTCTGACGGCCGGCTGGACTGAGGCAGCCTGGAGGCTTCAGAGGTTCACGGCTTAGGGCCTCAGACTTCGGAAGAAACGCAACCGGCCTTCAGAGATTTCGGGAGAACAATGCTATGGGAGTTGGGTATGAGCCCTTGGGGCTGTAAAATCAGCCCAGTGGCCCGTTTCCCGGGTTTCAGATAAAACATTCGGGCGAATGTGGTGCCAAAGCCAAAGACTTTGGGAACAGAGCGTTCTTAAACGAAAGCTACTAGTACGAAAGCTCTCCACAACACTTTATGGTTTCTGCAGCACCTCTGCGTCATCATGCGGCACGCATCCACTCATCTGTCAGCCGATGGCCCGTATCATAGCGGAGGGGTCTTTGACAAACCTTGAAGCACGAAGAGCAAAACATCAGCCAAAGTGCCCATGATGATACTTCGGGTGTAAGCTGGGTTCCAGCATGTGACCGGACTCGCGGATACGTAGGAGCCCCAAACGAGAGTCGCGTTCTTCCACGAGTTGTTCTGCAAGGCGCTCGCCCGTGCCTCTGCAACCCTAGTGGCGCGGAGGCTCTTCGTCTGCGCCGTGGGCGCCACGAAGGCTGTGCTGCACAAAGCGACGGCGCCTCC